GCCAGCAGCCTGCTACTGTTTGTTTTAAACTTTGCCTCCAAAACACTTTCTTAGCCTCTTCAGTTTCAAAGGACCTTTCAATGATTTCTTCATGAACAAAGTTACCAACATTCTTACTTTATTCCAAACAGAACCTTTTCGCTTCTTGTACACAAGTTATTAGCTAGCTTGTTTTTGACAGTCTTATCTTGTTTATCAGTCTTATTTTTAAAAAAATTATATATATTTGATCATTATTTTACAGTCTTGCAGGATTCTTGGTCCTGATATATTTAAAATAAGAGTTAGTATTAATTTTAATGACGTTTTCTCAAATTCTTGTACAACTCTTTCCATTATTACCTAAAACCTTAAAACAAATATAGAATCACAAAATTGCAGGGGTTGAAAGGGACCTCTGGAGGTCATCAAGTTCAACCTCCCTGCTAAAGCAGGTTCCCTACGGTAAGTTACACAGGAAAGCATCCAGGTGGCTTTTGAACACCTTCAGGGAAGGAGATTCCACAACCTCTCTGGGCAGACTGTTTCAGTGCTCCAACACCCTCACAGCAAAGAAGACAGCGAATGTGAAAACAAGAATGAAGGTGTTTTATATTACGACAATCTGAACAGAGATCAATACCAGCAAGGAGTGAAGCACACAATAATATATGAGGTTAGCACATCAAATCTAGCATTTCATCAAATTCGGTGGCACTGAATTTTTATGTAAATAAACAGAACCAGTGTAAAGACCAGATCATAGCACAAGAGGGCATCAGGCAACTGAAAGCAGAACACAGACCTCCCCGCCTCAATTTTTTAAAGAAATAAATCTCTCTAATCCCTAAATGTAGGGAATTAATGTTCAGAAAGATTTACTGGAACAAGCAACAGCGCTCTCATTCCTGAGAAATAATTAACAATCAAAAGTTATAAAGTTGGCTTTTTCACTACAAAATAAGATAATTTAGGATACCATTACCTCTTTGAATATAAATCCACCATTTACCTGCAATGGCCTTAACTCAGTGGAACAGATCGAATCAGTCCTGAAGTTAGTTATCTTAGATTAAGAGGATAATGTCTGCACTGACAGTATTAACTGCAATAGGTTAAAAATAAGGGTAAGGAAGATTATTAGAATAAATTAGTAAATCTTAGTGTATGCGTTAGGCATTTCTAAAGCATACTACCATTCTGCTTGAGGAGTTCATAAATACCTCACCTAATCATTACTACTATTATTCCTTTCTTTACAAACACATAAGTAAGTCAGGCACAAAGTCATTAGACAGTTTTACCAAAACTACATATAAGCTTCACCAGAGGCACACAATAAAGCAAAACGAAGCTAATGGATTCATTCTAGTCATCCCTGTCAGACAGGTACAAAAATGACAGAGTATCTATATTCTTCCTAATGATTCACATAGTGTTTATGAATGCTTTTCCCAAAAGGATGAGATTTCATAGTCAGACAAGGTATACTTGCTAATGCCAAGGCCATTTTTTAAATTCAGGTGGAATACACAATATTTGCAAGGAAGTAAGCAGGAATTTTCTACAAAGTTTTGCTCCGTACTGTATTCATTCTCTCTCTTTTCAGCAGTACTTAGTAAGTGGAGTATATAAAAACACAAGTAAATCAAGTCAACTCAGCAAGAAATATCTGGCTTAGCTGCTAATAGCACAATGAAGTTTTAAGACAGTCTGTTGCCATCTCCCTGCTGTGTTCTCTTTTCCAGAGACAGTTTTTCAGTTCAAATATTTATTATTTAAATATTACTTTGTTCCCTCTTCCTACATTAATCTCTTTCCCAACCTTAATTTCCCCTCTCCCTCTTAACAATTTCAGCCTCTCTTTCATCTATCCTCCCTCTCTCCTTTAGATAAAGCCAGTTTAATGGTGCATGACATCTACAACTATTTTGGATTAACACAAGGAAAGACAAAGTATTGGTAAATCTTGCCCTACCATACAACAGGTCATTTATTTCCAGTTCCCACTGCACTTTGCTTTTTGTAGAAGGTGAAAATACCACATTACCAGTACACTGAACCTTTGCTTGTTGGGGTATGGGAAAAGTCCATATCACTGCTAGCTTCTCAGCTAAATACAGCCTTTTAATCAATAATAAAAGGGCAAAAGCCATTCATGTTTTTGAATCTATTTGTGAAAGCTCAGAAACATCACCACCAAATTGTATGATTAGGAGAAACTGAACTTGAAAAGAGACATGCATACAAATCACAGAATTTGAAGCAGAAAAATGTACAACTTCCTTGCTATGTATGGAAGAACTGCACTTTCTTTCTATCAGCTTCTAATACAATCACTTGCCGACAGCAATCATAAAAGCCTGCACAAATTAAGTGCCAATTTTGTCAAGGAAGCACAGCCAGTCCAGTCAGCACATAGTGAGGATGACAAAAGGAGCAATAGGTCAGGAAGTGGTGGAGGGTTCAATGCTCAGCATAGCTCCACGGTGGCACCAAACCAAGCCAGGGTGCGCCTTTCCATGGCACAGCATGGCTGCCATCCAGGTGCGGAGCAGGCAGCCTCTCCTTATCATTCCCTATGGACTTGCTGCCTCCCTTCTTGATGGATACCACATTTTCCCTTGAATTCTCATTTCTTCTCACGTCCCATGTTCTGTTAGACTGTTGCTATGTTCTACCCTCCCCCAACTCCACCCTCCCTGACAAATATATACGAAGTTCAGCATCAGAAATTCTTCTTCCTTTCACTACCACCATCCACTCTTCTATTTACTCAATCCCAACCCTTCACTTTAGCTGGCAAGTGTATCTTCACATCTCTTCAAACCCGAAGTGAATCAGGTTAAAAATAGCCTTGGTCCCTCTGGCAAAACAACCAAATATTTTGGGTGAAATTATTATCACTGATCCTTTCCATTATCAGATTTACACCATGGCACTACCAACAGCTGAATAAGTACCAAGTACCAATGCAATTTGATAGGAAATATTTTTTATGGCATTAAAACTACTGGGGGCTTATTGATTGCTTCAGGCTCTTTTTTCACCTGTGTTTCACTGGAACTGGGCTGCCTTAATCCAATCCCAGTTCTGCTTTCATTAACAATCCTCAAACTGTTGTATTTTTGAGGGGAAGCTTGGCTGAAGAGACAAGTTATATTTGATCTATATCAGCTCTCTGACCCAGACAGATGCACTGCACAACCTCATGAAGCAACAGGATGGCACAGGCAACCAGAGGAAGTGAACAAGAATCATGCATTAAGATGATGATAAGCCCACTCAGCTCAAGGGGCACAGTCTTGTCCTCCATAAATATGAATGTTCTGCATCACAGTAAAACTTTCCTCAAAAACATTTTTACAGGGCAAACTCAGAAGTAGAACAGGCTGGGAATTTTTTAGTGAAATATTTTTCCACTGGAGGATAAGAAATCTGCTGAAACTGAAACATTTCAACTTTCACTGAAACGATTTGACAAATCTTTCAACAATAACCATTTCCCAGGTCCAGAATTGAACTTCTGTAAAAAAACAAGACACTGTGCACTAGAGCAGAGGAGACTACTGGTTTCTGGTGTGGGCATTTGACAGGAAAGTGAATGCTGGAGCTGGGTCCCATCCCTGCTCGGCTTGATTTGACTTTTGCATTTGGACATGCTCCACCAACATCCCAGAGGAGGTACTTACTTAACAGGCTGTTGACAGATGTGGATCATTCTTTTTTTTTTTTAAAAAAAAATAAATTAAAATTGTTGTAAGTTTGCAACTTTATTTCAGTGTGACATAGGGAAAAAAAGGTCAAAACTGAAAAAATGACATTTCTGTGAGATGGGAAAATATTTTTCAGCTTGTTCTACCTGATTCTCATAAGCTTTCTCTCAGGGTTGAGACAATGCTCTGGCAAATTTCCCAGTCTGATGCATGCATCTTATTTACCCTTTAAGCAAAATCCAGTGGGCGGCATAATTACAGAAGTCAGATGAAGAACAGCAGAGTTATACTGCACAAACAGTAAATCCCATTATGGAATAAAGGAAACTGTAGGCTGAAAAGTCAATAGGAGAACCAAAATGGATAATAATCTTATTAAAACTTCTCCCTCTACAAAAGTTTCCATATGAGTATCAATCAATCAATAACCCATTTCACAATCAAAAGCACCCTAGGTGTTTTCCCAGCCTCCACATATGTCCTTATTTTCCACCAAGATGAAGCACCAACACAACTAATTCACTTCAGTGAAACTGCTCTGCATCAAGTGAGGTATCAGCAGCCACATGACACTGGATAGCTCATGCCCTGTTTTTGAGTTAAAGAGTGAATATTTATGCTTTGAAATATATCTTAAACTACTTTGAACTTTGGACAATTATGAAGCTCCAAATATATATATTTAATAATTTTAATCATAACATATGATTAAAATTGTGGTTCTTTCTGTTGTTCTGTTTCAATATTGCCAATGTATGAAAAATGATCGAGACATATGTGACCTACGAAACGCCACACAGCTCACGTATGCGCAGCATAAATGTGCTTCAATCCTATTAGCCCTAGAGATGTGTGATTAAACAATTTATGTAAATGTGCCATATTTCATGTGTCATAGGCATGCTCTTTTACTGTCTATCCAACAGGCAATATTGAATAATTAGAGAGCATCTAATTAGAAAGCATGGGCGTTGGAATCAATGATCTTTGGTGGTCCCTTCCAATCCCTAAAATCCTGTGATTCTGTGATCTCAAAGAGCTAGGACAATGCCATTAAATAAATAGGAAAAATAATATCATATAACTTCATGAAGTTGGCAATATTTTACTCATTACGGAGTTAGCATCATTTCCTAAACAGCATTTTTCTTATGAGCACTGTCACCAGTGGAAAAGGATTCTAAAAGATCAGGAGCATGGTAAACCTCTGTCACTGAAAGCACAGGGAACTGAGCTGAATGAGAACTGCAGGTGCTCCGTGCCACTAAGGGATCACAGAGATTAAACTCTGCACATATCACATACCCATCTTCAGCAGACAGATGAGGAAGCACCAGCAGGTGGTGCCCCAGAACAGGTACCATATGAAACTCCTTCAGGTTTGCTGAGCTCCACACCAGGGCTAAGCCTCTGCCGAAATGGCTTCCTCTGCAGAAGCTTCTGCAAGGTGCTCTTACCAGCTTACGTCCCTGAAAATCAGGAGGCGATCATTTCAGTTTCCATAATTATCAATTTCCAAAGTACCCATTCCCTTAATGAAAAAAACACCCCAAACTTTTATTTAAAAAATTAATCACAGGAAAAACTTACAAAGAGTACAAATCCTTTACAAGAAATCCTTCAGAGAATATGACTAATGTACCTGTACTTATAAAATATTATAAAACACTGAGTCAAAGCCTACTCATTTTCTGATTATTTCATTTGTTGTTTTCTCTTCACAAACTTTCAATCATTTTCTGGATGGAAAAAATATAAGACTAGTTTCTGAATACAAGTGAAAGTCCTTTCACTTCTACTTAGAATTCAGGATTCTCAAAAGCACTGCGGTATGAGAGGCCCCACACATCCCTTTTGCCTACAGCAGCAAGAGAAATGCTTTTCAGCGCACTGCACGGTACAACTGATGTTCTCCCAAATCCAGTGAGCTTGATCTTGCTCTCAATGAGCTTGAGCTTTTCCTTCTGCTTCTACCAACGTGCAGAGAATGTCCAGATGCATACAGACTTAAATTGAATTTTGGGGCCTTTGCATGCATATATTGTGCCAAAAGGGGCAAACTGCTTTTAGTGTCAGCCACTGCTTGTGTCTATGCAAAAGAATTGGTCGCTTTTCCTCAACCCTTTGCTAACACACCCCATCACCCGTCCCAATATGCTCTCCTCCATAGCTAGAGCTAGCTCATGTTCTCTTCTTCAATTCCATTAACCTCAAGGAACGCTACAAGTAGCATTTGAATATCTTACTTTTCAACTCAATGGACTCCAAAAAAGCAGAATATAACTTTTTCTTGGTGGTAAACCATTTCTGGAGATAGAGCTACTGAAAAGGACAACAAAAAAGAAGTTAGAATATTTAGGAGCTTAAGAGGTTTTTGTCTTATAGGCTACTTAAAACCTTGTTTTAAATACTACAAACTTAAATATACAGCATTCAACTTTTTTTTTTTTTTTTTTTTTTTTTTTATGCATTGCTAAAAATCTCAAAACGAAATATGTCATTTTTTTCCAGGGTTTCTTCCTAAAAGTTTTTCTGATGATTCATTCAAATAATTGTAAGGAAAAATGAATCTATTAACACAGCCTTGAAATAATACAATATTTTTCACTGTCCTTATTTTTGGAAGTGGCAGATCCACTCTTGCTTGCCCTATCAAGTGTATGTTAGCTCAGACAAACCAAACAGTTGTCCAGCAGGACCAAGAAATTACAGATACACTTCATACAACAGCAACAGAGATTTTATAATAGATGAACTTCAGCTTTTCAAGCCAAACAATGTACAAGCAGCAAAGTCCTAGGCAGCCCAAATCAGTGTCATGTAACAGAAATATTTGGGTAAATTCAGTTACAGTAAGTAGAAGCACTGTTCACTGAAACATATTTAGGATTTCCTCATTGCACCGACATACTGAAAAGAACTGCTATCATTATTTCATGTATAATTAAAGACACATGCAGTTTAAGTTAGCTGTACTAGGTTAAACAGTAATTCAATGGCAAAACAGGCAACAAAATCCAAATGTTGCTATGTAACTACATTACCAAATCTTCCCATTCCAAATTCCCAAACTCCAACTTAATGGAATTGGAGAAGAGAACATGAGCTAGCTCTAACTGTGGAGGAGAGCAGACTGGGACAGGTAATGGGGTGTGTTAGCAAAGGATTGAGCAAGAGCAACCAATCCTTTTGCATTCCCATAGTCTGCTGCTATGCTGTTTCAATTTTGTTTATTTAATATGAAAATTAATTGGTCTTTTCCTCCAGCTTAAAACTTAGTACATAGGAATTTCCCTGTATAACAGGGAATTTAAACAACTTCACAGAATCACAGAATGGCCAGGGTTGGAAGGACCTCAAGGATCGTGAATCTCCAACCCCCCTGTCACATGCAGGGCCACCAACCTCCCCATTTAATACTAGACAGGGCTACCCAGGGCCCCATCCAATCTGGCCTTGAACACCTCCAGGGATGGGGCATCCACAACCTCTCTGGGCAGCCTGTTCCAGCACCTCACACTCTCTCTGTAAAGAGCTTCCCCCTGACATCCAACCTAAATCTTCCTTCCCTCAACTTAAAACCATTTCCCCTTGTCCTGCTGTTATCTACCCTTTCAAAGAGTTGATTCCCCTCCTGTTTATAGGCTCCCTTTAGGTACTGAAAGGCTGCAATTAGGTCACCCCGCAGCCTTCATTTCTCCAGGCTGAACAAGCCCAACTTCCTATTTGTAGAAACACGTTTGCTTCCATACAAATGGTAAAACAGTATGGCAACATGTTCAACCTTAGAGACTACTAGCATATTACGGGTTTTGCTGCTGGCATTCAGAAGCTTTTTTTACCTACGCCCTTCAAATTCTACAGGAGAAAAACACCACCTAATCTTCTCTGTAAAATGCATTATGATTTATAATCAACACTGCTGTTCAAATGTTAGTTATTATCTCAGAACATCAAGAATAAGAAGCTATAAAATCTACCTGTATAACATAAACAGATCATAATATTAATGTTGAACTACGTAACAATAAGCACACTTCCTTTAAAAATGAAATTTTTTTTAGGCACAGTGAGCTAGTTGGTTTTTTCCCCTCACCATCATCCATTTGGTTACCTCACAGAAAAACTACCTCTTTTCACTTTCGTAGTTTCCAGTTTTACTATTAAATTAGACAGCCTATGTTATTTTAAGCTCCCCACAAATAGAAGAATAATCTCTGGATAGAGGTGAGTGCAAAATTTAACATGTCTACACCTTTAATAATATTAATGATGCTTCTGCTAACATTTGTGTTGGGTATTTACACTTCCTGTTTAACACTGGAAGTCTGTCTCCCCCAGAATTTGGTTTCACTCTTGGTTTTTCTCTTAGGTATTTAAATAGAATCTTCTGACATTTTTGTTTAGCCACACACGAAGGTATGTGGAGACACAGTAATAAAACTGCACTATGAGAAAAATCATAAAACATAACATAGCTCATAAAACATTCCTCCAGTTTCTCTGAATGTGGAATCTGAACATAGAGATTTTCATAGATTTCAGACTACATTATTGTTCAAGCAGTAACTGAAGAATTAAGTCTCAAAGACAAATTTAACAAAGGGATTTTCCCGTTCTTTCCCTAGGCAGCACACACATGTACAATAGATGCTAACAGTCAATTACACACTCCCTAGTTCCAACTCTCAGTAAATCACAGAATTTGAAGAAAAAAAAAACAGAACCAGAGACAACCCAGCTACCTACCTTACAAGGAAGATTCACAGGTTTCCTTGCTAGGACTAGGGTCTGACTTGTGGATTGTTGTTTTTTTTCTCCCCTCTTCCTAATCTACAACTACACAGAATCTCCCATATAACAAATCAAGAAAAACAGAGTAAATTCAGCTATTAGTGAGCTAGTGAACTATTTAACACCACACAAGTAACATAGAAGCCACCGATAAGAATTTACATGGGAAAAAGACAGTGTTGAAGAAAATCATTCTAATAGAAAGCACACTAAAACTAATGTAATTAACAGAACACCTAGGTTGGGAAAATAGCTGTAATGCCTTTCTAGCCAATAGTATCTAGATGAGCTACTGCTGTGTCAGTCTGAAAAAGCCTGCCAAGGAGAAGAGATATACATACATCTGGTTGAAAAAGCACATTTATGGGCAACCTCAGCATGAGAGAAACTTACAGCACTCCCAGCATAGTGTTATTCTCCATACATGTAAAACCATGCAAGTATTCCCAGTAGACAAACAACAATCTCACACTCAAGACAGTGTTGCTGTGGAAGAGGTTTGGTAGCCAGGCTAAAAAACCCACCTTCTTCTCTCTACCTTCACTGCAAGCTGTAAGATACAAACAGAATAATCAACCACATTCTAGACGTGGTTTGCAATCCAGTGGGCAAAGGTAATGAAGTACTAAGATTTCCTTGGGAACGAAAGGACACTTCATCTGTAGCAGTAGATTTTTTCACAACTACTTACTACTATCGTTAAAGCCAAAGTGCATTATTTTATCACCAATTCCAGGGGGGAAAAAATTAGAGTCAAAATTAAGATATATTTATATGGTAATTATAAGGTTATGCATCAGAATGAAGCAAAATACGAATGCAAAGTACTTCTTTGTTCCTATGAGATCAGAATTAGGACTGGATTATTCAGAAGGAGGCATAAAGTTCCCACAAAAAGTGGTGAAATTTCATTTTCATTTACTCATGAGGAAAATTAAAGAAGGGCTCAGCAACTTCCCCAGGTAACAGGGAAGGCAATATCATTGTGAGAATGACAACATGGGAGTTTCTAAACCACATCCCTGCTTAAAGTCACAGTTCACCTCACCAGGCAATCCTACAAAAACCTGTCAGGATTGGACAGAAAGGAAGAAATTACTGTATAGTCATCTAGGAGAAGAAGAAGTGTTAGACTACATGCCTACCTGAACAGGCACGAGAGGAAAAACCCTGAATTACCACAAGCAGGGATATACCATACACTACAGGGGAAACCCCTGTGTTCCATATATGAATTGCTTTTGTTAATAATGAAAATATGACCTAAACCACAAATGCTATTCTGCATTTGTTCTGACAAACTTTTTAATTAAAAACGTAGAAAAGGAGGGGTCACACTGGTTATTCTTCTTGCACTGTATCTCAACTTCAGACTTGGCACATTTTGTTTGTGAGGTACCTGCAGATCCATTTTTAGCACAGAAAGACAATACAGTAATTGAAATAAGCATTCTAAACAAAACAATATTTGAGACAGTTTTCTTCTTGTTTAACTCAAGCAAGAATGAAAAGCAACCAGCCAAACAATAAAACAAACCACAACATCCTTCAATGTACTAGAGCTACCTTCATTACTTGAATCAGCCCCTGGTCCTTCCCTCATTCACTTTTTTCTTGTCTCACATTTGGTTGCGAAGCCACAAGAACCGCCTCACCTCATAAAAGTCCTTGAATGCAGGGTCCTCACTGTGAACCCTACATGCCACCATAATTTAAGTTGTAAAGTATAAGCAACATGAAGGAGAGTATCTTAAGAATTATTATTATTATTTCAAATAGTGCTCAGGAACGTAGCTGCAGGGAAAACCTAGTCTCTACATGTTATGGTGCTTACTATGAATCAAGCGTTGATTATATCTTCGGAAAATGTAGCCTCTAAGATGAAACTAACCTGCATCCACTGTCTTCTTAAAACATCTCACTTGCATACTGCACACCACACTCTAAATGAATCTTATGAAATTGGTCATTAAATAGAATCATAGAATCACAGAATGCTTAGAGTTAGAAGGGACCTTTAAAGATCATTCAGTCCAACTCCCCTGCAATGAAAAGTGACATCACAACTAAATCAGGTTGCCCAGGGCCTTATCCAGCCTTGCCTTGAAAGTCTTCAAGGATGGGGCATCAACCACATTTCTGGGCATCGTCTTCCAGTGCCTCACCACCTCCCTGTAAAATACTTTTTCATTACATCCAATCTAAATCTACCCTCTTTAAGCCTGAAGCCATTTCCCCTTGTTCTATCATCTTAGACCGTACTGAAGAGTCTGAGCCCTTCTTTCCATTAACTCCTCTTTAGGTATTAAAAGGCCACTATCAGGTCACCTCGGAACCTTCTCTTCTCCAGGCTAGACAGCTCCACCTCTTTCAGTCTGTCAAGACAGAGGGAGATCTGCAACAGTGTTCTGTTTCACAAGCAAACGCATGAAATTTTAAGTACTGAAAGATTCAAGGAATCTCTACCTGAAATTTGATCCAAATTTTCTTTTAAATGCTATTTCTATATTACTATTATCTCATATAGC